CCTCTCTTTGTCTTAATATATTTATTGGTATATTGTTAATTGTAACTGTCACCTACTTTATTCTCAGGCTTATCTCCACACTGTAATGGTAGTGATTGTGGATATTCATCTAGCATGGAAGGGAGTGAAACAGGTTCTCGAGAGGGTTCAGATGTTGCCTGCACTGAAGGCATTTGTAATCATGACGAACATGGTAGGTTCAGATTAAGCTTCCCAGTTATTTCTGCTGCTTGGCTGATTTAAGGACATAAATAAGAGATTATTGATTTCTGCAGGTGATGACTCCTGTGTTCATCACTGTGAAGACAAAGAGGATGATGGTGATAGTTGTGTTGAATGTTGGGCAAATTCCGAAGAGAACACCACCAAAGGAAAAAATAAAAAGAAGAAAAAGAAAAGCAAGGTGTTGAAATGTGATGAACATGTAAGTGTCATAACTTGCAATTCTTAAGCCTTTGATGTTGAGGGGAGAACAGTCTATTTTCCTTGGTATAGTTAAGTGTGCATCTTAGCTGTTAGGATTTTTTGTTGTTGTTGTTAGAATGAGTACCTTATGCAGTTACATTGATTGTTCGTGTGTGTGTGTATCTGTGTCTGTCTGTCGTGGTCATTTGACCAACAGTCCTTGAGAGTCATAAATCCAATTCATTCTTTTCATAATATTTTTAAATGTATTAGCTATATAGTCTTGAGCAGTTTGCTTGATCTTAGTTTTCACATCTGTAAAATGGAGATAAAGGTCCCTATCAGATTAGGTTCTGTGAAGATGAAATGAGATTATATTGATGGATTAGCATAGTGTCTGGTATGTAGTAAGTGTCTAGTGAATTTCAGCTGCTGCTTTTATTCAGTATTCTTTTAAAACATTTAAGACAACTGTCAGGGTATATTTTTTTCTTTAAAGAATAATTGCTGTTATTCCCTGCCTTTTTACCTGGGAAATCCTTTGCTGTGGTTTCAGATCCAAAAGCTTGGAAGCTGTATTACAGATCCAGGTAATCGAGAGACCTCAGGAAATACCGTGCACACAGTGTTTCACCGCGACAAGACCAAAGATGCACATCCTGAAAGCTGCTGCAGCTCTGAAAAGGGTGGGCAGCCACTGCCTTGGTTTGAGCACAGGAAAAATGTACCACAGTTTGCAGAACCTACAGAAACATCATTTGGTCCTGATTCTGGAAAGGGTGCCAAGAGCTTAGTTGAACTCCTTGTAAGTAAGCCATGATGTCTTATTGTCGACAACTGATTGCTCATGGGGTAGATATGGGAGGGGACAGTATTTTTGAGGGTTTAAAGTTGGGAGTGGGGGAAAGCTTTTAAGAAATTAAGGGCAGTATTTAATTATTTTTTTGGTGACTTCATTTTTGTTCTTCCACTAGTGGTTTATGCAACTGCTCTGGAGCACATTTCCTTGTCCTCCTCTGTCTGAAAGATAGAAGAGGAGACTAGTTAGGGGAGGGGGATAGAGTTAGCATTATATCCAGGAGTCTGCCTCCTTGGAGAGGAGGGTTATTGTAAGTGAACTGCCTTTTATAGTAGCAATTTATTACAGTAGCCACCCTTCCAGATCAGGAAAGAATATAGAATCTCAACTAGAGCCCACTTTCTAGGTTACTTCTTGTAGGATAAAATTATAATTGAACTTGGAAAACCTTTTATAATTGATTCCAATTTTTGATATTTGAGATGAATTTTACCTGATGCCAAGAATTGAGATTAATTTTACCTGATTCCGAGTGACCCAGTGCCGTTTGTGTGGGTCCTGGGAGAGGGGAAAGGAAGGATAGTGTCTTTTCTATAGTAATTAGGATCCTAATGGAATCAAATCCTTTAGAATACTAGTTTTTTCTTTTTTATATGGTTATAAAGTTTAATGGTGTTGCTGTGTAACTTATTTCATAAGTTAAGAAAATGTTACATTTTACTTAATTTGTAGAGATAAAAGTTTCAACATAGGACCAGCTAGAGATAAGTCTGGTTATTTAAAATTTGGTAACTAGTAACCATCTCTAATTAGTCATTTTTTTAAGGCAAGAGATATGTTGGTACTCAGCTAGGCTCACAGGTTTCTAGGACAAATTATAGATCCAGAGTTTCAAACTGAGTTGAATTAGATTTTATTCTAAGTGCTTTCTAAGACAGAATGACATGCTTATTTTGCAAGCATTCCAAGGCTTTATTGAGACTGAATTGAAACTAAAAAGTTAGATTAATTTTTAGCTGTCCTCCATCAGCATAGCATATTTCACTCTTAATTTAAGTCATAGTCTTAACTATTGCTTTAATTTGCAGGATGAGTCTGAATGTACTTCAGATGAGGAAATCTTTATCTCACAAGATGAAATACAGTCATTTATGGCTAATAACCAGTCTTTCTACAGCAATAGAGAACAATACCGACAGCATCTGAAGGAGAAATTTAATAAATACTGCCGCTTAAATGATCACAAGAGGCCCATTTGTAGTGGTTGGTTGACAACAGCTGGAGCAAATTAAATAAAATAGCTCTGTCTTTCAATGAAACACTCAAGATGACTACTGCGCCTTCTCTTTCAAAAAACTCTTAATTTAGTGACTTACGGCAAAATTTTATCTTAAATCAATGTGATTCTTCTTGTTTTGGGAGACGGTGGAGGTAACCTCATTTGTTTGTTCTTTCTTCAGGCTTGTGTCTTTAGTTGCGTGGCTGCGCAGGCCTGCCGTATGATTTAAGCCATCTCTTTTCATTAAATGTTTCTCTTCCTGTGAGACTTACTAAAGCAACTTAGTGGCAAAAAGTAATGTTGTACTTATACTTCTGTACAGAAATGACAATGAGCTGAATATATGGTTTTACAAAGTAGACATCCACTTGCGAAATGTTTGGATGTAATGTTAAAGCGCAATGTGCAAAATTTAAAATAAAGAATATTTATTAATACGCATAGTAAAATTTGGTGTACATGTTTCTACTTAATGTGTGGCAGTATTTTAATATTTGCCACTTGTGGACTTGGTACTTGGCCAGTGTTGGTGTTAGAAAGAATGAAGAGCAAATGAGGATAGAGATACAGATTGTTGAATACAAAATTCTTACGTTGATCAGAATCGACAACTGAGAAAAGCAGTTTTCAGTCTTTTGTTTTGATAGAATAAATTTGCTGTGATATCTTGACATACTGGCTAGCATCTTTTTCATGAGACTTTTAATTACTATTATTGAAAGTTCCCTGATATATATCACAAAGCACATTAAATTCAGAGGTTGATATTGCACTAGAAGAATGAAAACAAAACTTGGCAGAATTTCAAGCAAGAGTTGCCTGATAAGTAGTTACTCAGTGGGTAGAATTGGAATCAGAAAGGTGCACTGAGAGCTAACTAACCATATTGCGTACTGTGCAAGTGCATGCTCCTTATCTGGTTTCCAACAGTCACTATGGCATTAGTTTACTGCTTTCACAAGCTGTCTGAATTACTGAAGGAGAGATTCCCTCATGAGTAGCCTTTGGCTGCCATTTACAAGGTTGCGTCAATAGTTCAATAAACACATGTGCTTAGAGCTTTGTGTGTCTGCACGTGGATAACACTTGGTGGGCAGCAGGCAGACCAGGGCGGGGGGGCAGTCAATACCTCTGTGCAGTGGGGATGGAATGAGTTTTATGGGCTTCCTACCGCTTCATCAGATTTCTAATCAGATTTCAAGTGGGCAATAGCAGAAGCTTAGTAAGATGTAATTTTTGTAGTTGGTGGCATTTCTTTGATCTACCCCCTATCAGAAATGTTGTCTTTTCATATCTACATGTTGTATAGGGATTGGGGCAGAGGTAAAATGAGTCATGATTCCTCTTTGTCCCTTGTTTACTTTCATCCTGGAATCCATAAAAAATTACTAAGGGCCTCCTACAGACCTATGCTCTGGGCCAAATCTCTTCTCCACCATTTGTTGCAGTCAAGTTCTTTCTTGAGGCCCCTAAAAGCAAGGGCTAGTTTTATTTTTTAATCTTTGCCCTTGGGGCCAAACATATGAATGCTTTTATTGAATAAATAAGCTAGCCACCACATTTACTGCTTATTCCATTGCTTGCAGTGAAGGGATTCCAGCAGTTATGCTGAGATGTTTTTTCTCTGTAAGGATGGCTATATTAATGCAGAAGTGAGGCAGCTTTCAGTGCTTTGATGAAATACATCCTAGGTCAGAGAGCAAAGTGAGCAAAACCAAAAACCGAACGAAGAGACAAAAGGGAGAATGGAGCGAAGGCAGATTAGGAACACATCTCCTGGTCTGAGACTGGACTGCTTGCGGTCCAAACCATGCTTCACTCCTTTGTGTCTTAGTATAGACCTCTATAAAATGAAGGTATTAATAGGTATTATCTCAGGGTTATTGTGCATAGTAATATATTTAAAGTGCTTATAAATGCCACTACACAGTAAGTGCTCAATAAGTGTTAGCTATTGCTTTCATCTTTGGTATACATGGTGATAAATTTGCTCCAATGAGAGTGGGAGGGTCCAGGACATTTGGAGACAGGCCATTGGGATAGAATCTCCCAGTACACGTGTTGGGGGTGTTTTCATTTTTAACCATCACTTCTTGGTTAGTAGGAGAGACCCTCCCAAGGCCACCCAGTGTTGATGGTTGAGGCAGGCCGTCTTCTCTGAGCTGAATCCTTCCCATCAGCCACTGGACGGTTTAGTAGTAAGGCGTTGGAGTCACCTTAAGTGACCTTAATTTCTCTTCTGGCCTTTGGGATCAGGAACAGGGAAGGGCTACTGAGCAAGAGGCAAGGGTATATGCATCCTCGGGCCTGGAGCAAGCTCCGGCTGAATCTTGGTTTCCCTGCTTCAAGGGGAAGAGCTCACCAGGAAAGCAAGACCACAAACCCCCTCTGGCGCCCGCCCACATCGCTGAAAGAACCATTCCCCCGCGCCGGGGGCGGAGCCGGAAGGGGCGGGGCCGTGTTCGCGCGGCGGGCGTAGGGGGCGGGACAGCTCGGCTGAGGCCTTCCTCCCGCGGGATGTGACCGATTTCGAATAGGAGGGTGGAGGCCCGGCCCGAGGCCGGCCAGATTGGAGGCGGGTCCAGGCGTGGCTAGGACGGAGGCCGGGCGGGGGCTGCCGCGGCGGCGACGAGAAAGCGGCCGAGCCCCTGAGACCTGGGGCGGAGCTCCGCTAACCTAGTGCCCCGCTCGCCGAGCGAGGTGGGCGGGCGACTCGGGACCATGGCCAGGGCTGGCATGGAGCGGTGGCGAAACCGGCTAGCATTGGTGACGGGAGCCTCGGGGGGCATCGGTGCGGCCGTGGCCCGGGCTCTGGTCCAGCAGGGACTGAAGGTGGTGGGTTGTGCCCGCACCGTGGGCAACATAGAGGTAAGGCTTGGCCCGGGAGCAGGTCGCTTTAGGGGGCGTCGTTTCCGCCGGTGTTGGGTCTGGGTGGGGGAGGGGTAGTGCCCGGAGTCAGGCTGTGAGGCTGCCCTCGCTTGCCTGCTACACCAGAGCCATTTGCAACGGACTTAGGGGCCTAGTAGGGCCCTTTTCTATTCCTGAGGGCAGGTCTTTACCTTCGCTTTTTTTAAGTCCAGTCTTTTAAGGAGCCTTTTCTCCTGACAGCCCTACTCCAGTGTACCAAACCTCTGACTCTAGGGCATCTTTCTCCTTCCCTCCTACCTTCCTGCCCAGGTTGAGGTCAGGGGCTAGCTAGGTAGCCAGGGAGAAGGAAAGTTTTCTGGCCTCAGTGCCTAAAGCTGGCTGCTGGATTGCTGCTTCTCCTTTCCAGACCTAGCTCACAAAGCCAAGCAAAGTGGCTGGCCAGCCAAAAGAGCAGGAGCTAGAGGTTTCAGTGGTGGTCATTTTTTTGCCCAGGTCTGAGGGTGGGGTTGGGGTGCAAGTGGAGCTTTTCTGAAGAGGCTGGTCCCTCACCCCCCCCCCCCCCCCCCAAAGCTGAGGATTAACCCCTCCCCTACCCAGTGGGCATAAGGGACTGACAATGGGATAGTCACAGGCAGAACTTTCTCGTTTCACCATCTTTAAGTGGGACCGAGTAGTTGAAATAGCATTAAACATGTGAACCCTAAGGGGACAAAACAATGTGGAACTGAAACTCCTGGTTTTTCTCTTAACGTGGGGTTGGGAGCCGAGTTTTGAACAACAAGGGCGCAGAGACAAGTTGGCCTTGATGGAGCATGGAGGAAGAAGAGGAGAAATTTCCATCATAGGTCATTGGATTTGCCTGGCAAGATCACTCTCAGGGCTTAGGCTCATGATTAGCTGCTAGGCATTGTCTCCACCATTGCTCAGGCGAAGAGTAAGGAGGCCTTGGGTGGGGGCAGAGGGAGAAGGTGTGCAGGAAGGAGAGCTGTCCCCTCCCCTGCTGACCAAAGGTATACTTTATAGTCTAGATAGTCCCAAGGTCACCGGGCTACACCACTGCCCCACTCTGCCCCTCCCTTTCACCTGTCTTGAGGAACTCAGGAGCCTTGGAGCCTAGAGGATCAGGCCAGGGCTTAGAGCACTGGATTCCCTAACTCTAAAGCCACTTTTGTCTTCTCTTCCTACTCTCCCACCCCAAACTAGCCAGGGAAAGGGGTCCCTGAGTCCCAGGGGAATCCCCAACCTGATCACCTAGCCCCATGATGACTCCTTTAATGAGGGGAGAATGCCTCTGCGGTGAGGGGACTGACATTTTTTTATTTCAGGTCATTTTTGAGGACAGATGAGGACAGGTAGGGCAATGAAAAGGCAGTGACAGGGAGATATATTGGGTTGTCGAGAAAGTCATGACGTATTTTTCTATGTTTTACGATGCAAAAATGCATCATGACTTTCCCGACGACCCAATATATTCTCAGCCCTTCCATTCTTTGCAGCAGGGGCTTTGAGTATGGAGAAGGAAGGGAAGAGTTGCCTGCCAGGTTTCCTTGACCACAGTCTGCTTTTATTGATGCATATTAAAACAGGCTGAGCCCTGGCTTCCTACAGAGAGAATCCCTATTTCCTGAGGTGATCTTGAGGAGGTAAAATTGGGTGAAGGGGGTTGCTTCTGAGTCCCCAACCACTATACCTTTTGAACTCTCGGAAAGTTAGAGCAGAAAATAATTTCCTAGGTCACCTGATCCAGCCCTTTACTCCCAGTTTGTTTGGGGAGAGGGAGGACTCCAGGCCAGGGTAGCTGGCCAAGCTGGCTTTCCTCTAGGGCACCCCACACTCCCCAACCCTCTCCTTCCAACACATGTACATAGTCACCTTCACGAGGCTCAGGTGCCCAGTCATTGGCCTCCAAGGCCACATAGCTTGTTTCTTCCTGTTTCTGAATGTCAGCTTTCCTCACAGCCATCTCTCAGTGGCTCTGCTTTCTCAGGTTTTTCTCTCTCAGGGCTCTTCCGTATGTTGAGGTTCCTGGTGATGTACAGGGGGTGTCAATGCATCCTGCCACCTGACTTGCCTCATAGTCTTCAGAGAAACTTTGGGGTGGAGGGTGGAACACCATGGGACAGAGAGAAAGAATCTGTCCTGACTTCCTGACCCTTCCTGTATGCAGGGCAAGGAGAGATTGGCCATCAGGCTCAACTGAGAAGTATGTGTGAGCACTCTAAGCCCCTGGCTGCAATTTGTGGCAGGAGGGTGATAGTTCAGATATAAGCCCTTCTGGGAGGGACTGGATGAGGCGATGGAGATAAGAGTTCGAGGCCCTGGCATAACCAGCTCAGTGACTCTTGGCACTGGTGGAAGAAGCATGGGGCGGGGTGAGAGGTACTTCTTACCTATGAGCAGAGAAGGTGTTCCTATTGAGAGAGAGGCAGAAAAGAAAGATCACTCCATTCCCAGGATCTCCGGTCCCTTTCTTTGGCCCCCTCAGAGCCCCAGCCCCTTCTTAGAACTGAAGACTTGAATTCATCCGTAAGGTTCCTCCATTTCCCCTCCCTCCCTCAGGGAGTGCGCTCATCCCCTGGACTTTGACCAAAGAGGACATACTTTGGGGATGGGCAGTCCCAACATCTACGTGACTGGAAGGTGGCCGCCAAAGGAGAGAGTTCTGTGCGTCGTGACAGCGGAGGGAGGTTGTCTCTGGCTGGGGAGGTGTGGGAGTGAGCAGCTCACCCCAGTTAGACCCCTGTTGGGTTTCTTAGGAGCTGGCTGCTGAATGTAAGAGTGCAGGCTACCCCGGGACTTTGATCCCCTACAGATGTGACCTGTCAAATGAAGAGGACATCCTATCCATGTTCTCGGCTATCCGCTGCCAGCACAGCGGTGTGGACATCTGCATCAATAATGCTGGGTTGGCCCGGCCTGACACCCTGCTCTCAGGCAGCACCAGCGGTTGGAAGGACATGTTCAATGTAAGGGCTGCGGGCCTGGAATGGGAGGCTGGGAGGAGAGCAGGGAGCCAGGGGTTTGTGCACCAGAGTGCTGCTCGGGATAGGACATCTTGCAAGAGGGAGCTTTGGGTTCCCACCGTGGAGCACCTTGATTGTCCCCTTGCTTCTTGCCCTACCAGAGGGCGAGTGAGTGGATGTTTGGCCATACCTTTTCCTCCTTTTTTCCTCCGAGCCCCTGGGCGCAATTCTTAAAGTCCAGGCTGATTTTCTTCTATTGGAAGAAAGACGGGTAGGGGGAGAACTGCTGTTTATTGAATGTCCCCCGATGTCAGCACTGTGTGAAGTGCTTGGAAACATGGTCTTATGGGAAGAAAAGGAACCAAGAGACAGGAGGCGATGTTCTCACCGAGCCCTGTCAGTAACTATATGGCTTCAGGCAGGTAGTTACCCTCTCTGAGCTTCAGTCTCGTCACATTTAATTGGGATGAACACACCTATACCATCAATATCTGGGGTCAGACACTCCAATGTCCCTTGGGGCCAGCTAGGTACATAAATGAGTGAGGCAGGTCAGGTGGGATCTGCGATAAGTGGAGAGCACACAGCCACGTCCACAGGCAGCCACTGCTGGTCTAGCATTGTTGCTACGGGGCAGTGTGGCCCAGGGTGGCCAGATCTTCTGGTTTCTTTGACGAGTGGGGATCCTGGATTTTATGTGACACCCTCCTCTTCACCAAAACCTCAGCTCCACACGGGCAAGGATTTTTGTCTGTTTTATTCTATTATAACCCCGGCCTGTAAACACTCAATAGATTATTGTTTGAATGAATGAAACCTTCCCACACATGTAAGAAATGAGTTTAAAATGTTTTATAACTATGTGTGGACCAAACACAGCCTGCAGGACATGGATTTTGAACTCCTGGACTGTATTATGGGGCAATATTAGGGTATGAAAGTATTCTGAGAAGTTGAAAGCAGTATGTAAATGGAACGCGTCTTTTCCCACCACAATTCTTTTCATATCTGCTCACGGTAGCTTTCACACCTGACAGGTGCCTGGGCCTGGGAATGAACAGTGAACACGAAGCACTACCCCTGCCCTCAGAGCCTGCTGGGAGACCTGAGTTGTGGTCTTTACCTGCAGTCGATGGGCCTCTAAACCTGGACCTCAACTTGCCCATCTGGAAAACCCCTAAGGCCCCTTTCAGCTTGAACATGATGTATTATGATCCTATTAGGGTCATCCTGTGAGGCATCGTCTCCACTCCCACCCCGAACCCTCCAGGCTTAGGAGATTCACTCCCCCGATGCTGAGGGATCTGTTTTTCCTACTCCATCTGTTCTCAGGGACTGAGCTCTGTGTCCCCACAAACCCACACTGCTCAGAGGACCAGAAACAGGGCTGAATGTCTCCCGTGTCCTTCTGCTGTGAATGCAGAGGCACGTTCACACTGAGGGTGTTCTGTCCTGATGGCTGGTTCTGACACCTGATAAAGAAAAACATCTAATCTCCCAGCTTGTCCCCAGAGAGGCGAGACATGAGGACCTGCAGAAAGCTTTATCTCTGCTGCTCCTGGTCGAGGCTAAGGGGTGGGGCTGGGCAGGAAGTTTAGAGCAGAGATACTTTTTCAGACCATGAAAGGTGGGGAATTGGGGTCACCTCTACCACAATAAGTAGGAGTGGGCAGGGGCCATGGAAGGCAGGAAGCCCCATGCATTTGGGAGGTCCCCAGCCATCCGGTGACAAGTGACCCCACCCTCTAAAGAGTCTCTGTGCCTAGTCTTGTAGATGCAACAGAAGTTAAAGGAAGGAGGGTCAGGCCTTCACGTCTCCACTGGTAGTCTCAAGGGAGGGGACAGGAAAGGAGCAGAGAGTAGCTGGGTGAGGTAAGGAGAGGCTAGAGTCTGTACTTGAGGAGACAGATGTTTAAAGCCATTCTAGGAAGGATTTTAGGCTGTTTAGGAGAGAGCAGGGCATTTGGGGAAGAAAAGGAAATGGTTCCCTAAGGCAGAGGTTCTACTGTTTACAGAGGAAACAGCCAAGACAGGGAATGTTCCTGAATCATGGGTGAGTTTAGGGGATTTTCATTCCTGTTTGCAGGGAGAGGAGCTGCCTCTGCAGTCAGCTGGGGCTGGTGGCTTTAGGGGGAGGGGCACCTAAGGCAAGGTGACCTGGGCCCATTGTTGGTCTCTGGTAGGACCTGGACACTGTTTGGGAATGCCACTCCCCCCCCCCCGAGTTCTCTGTGGCTCCCTCACCTGCTCAGATGGGCCCATGCTGGAGACACCCCATTGCCCTCCCTGGCCTGCAGGTGAATGTGTTGGCTCTCAGCATCTGCACACGGGAAGCCTACCAGTCCATGAAGGAGCGGAAGGTGGATGACGGGCACATCATTAACATCAACAGGTGAGGCAGGTGGCCGAGGGCTTGAGCAGATCACCACTCACCCTCCACGCCGGTGATCTGCTGCAGCTCATCGGACCTCTTTGGACCTGTTTCCTTGGTGGTAAAATAGGGATTTAATACTCAGTTAACACCCAAATGGCATGACTATGGTGAGGAAAAGAATATGTCAAGTGCCAGCCCCTCGTTGGTTGGAATGGGTGGCTCAGCCCCTTCTCTTTGCAGCCAAAGCCTGGGGGCTCTCCTGGCACTGAGGTTCTCCATTCCTCAGACTCTGGAATGCACCCCACTTCCTCGTACAAAGAAAGACTACACAGTATTGTTGGGTAGCTCGCAGTCCGAGTGGGGAGACATGGCCTCTGCCCCACAGAGATCTCCCAATAGAACCATATCAGTGAACAGATGAAACAGAGAGAATTCTGACAGCCTGCATGACCAGGAGAAAGGGTTCTGCAGTCAGCAGAAGGAGCACTGCTAGAAGAGGAGGGCTTTCAGGAGCCGCTTAAGTAACAAGCTTGGTTAGTTGGCTGCAAGGATGGCCTCTAGAGGTCCCCTTTAGAAGGCTTCCCTGCGGCATCTAGGTGGTGTGGTTGACTGGTACAGCAGAGGGCATCGCTGGTCTCTCGGGCGCATCACTCTTCTTTCTCCTTCCCTCCCTCTACTCAGCATGTCTGGCCACCGAGTGTTACCCCAGTCTGCGGTCCATTTCTATAGTGCTACCAAGTATGCCGTCACTGCACTGACAGAGGGACTGAGGCAAGAGCTTCGGGAGGCCCAGACCCACATCCGAGCCACGGTGAGGGTGTGGCCTGGCCCTGGTGGGATGGGGTGACACAGGCCCTCCCCACCCCCCACATAAACTGCCCAGGGGTCTATGTCCAGGGTGTGCGGCTTAGAACCCCTGGGAGTATACTGGGCACAGAGCTCCTGGGCTCTGCCACTACTTGTGTGGCCCTGCTCGGTATGTGTTTCACTGACTTTGATGTGAGAGGGGGCTGGCCTGAATGGAACATGGTGGGGTGAGACTGAAGGAAAGCAAAGGATTGTGGGAAACCAGGTGCATAATGGCTGGAAACAGGACTCTGGGCTCTTCCCTTGAAGGCCAAATGAGCTTGAGCAACTCACTGAACTTCTTTAAGCCTCGGTCTTCTCGTTTGTTAAATGTAGATGCTAATATCTATAAGGTTATAAGGTTTTTCTAAGAGACACCATTTGTCTAAGAGACACCTGGCTTATAGTAAGGGCTCTGTAGATGGTAGATAACATTGTGATAATCGCCAGTGGCAGCTTTGAAGGGAGGAGGCAGCTACTGGACATGGGGCAGCCATCACTGTGAAGCTGGGGTCCTGTGGCTTCCATCCTTTCCCTCCAACCTCCCCAAGAACTGGCCTCTGATTGGGGTGGGGGTGGGGCAAAGTTTGGCTCCTGAGCAGGCCCTCTCTGTTGGCCCAGTGCATCTCTCCAGGACTCGTGGAGACACAATTCGCCTTCAAACTCCATGACAAGGACCCTGAGAAGGCAGCTGCCACCTACGAACACATAAAGGTGGGGCCTCCCTCTGGGCCTGCTGAAGTCACTCACATTAAGTGAAGGCAGAGGGAAGGGAACCCTGGCCTTCAGACCCCATCTTTCTAGCCAGCCCATCACCGGTCCTGGAGGGTTGGGGTGGGCATATGGATGCTGGAGAGGACCCCAGTGGTGGGAGGGAACTTGGATCCATTCTGCTCTCGTCTCAACCCCCCTTTCCCCTGGTGCTCTCAGTGTCTCAAACCCGAAGATGTGGCCGAGGCTGTCATCTTTGTCCTCAGCACACCCCCACATGTCCAGGTAAGTCTGGCCTTGGCTGTCCACATGCTGGAGAAGCCCAACCATCCCCAGAGGAGACCAAGGAGGCCTTACGCGGGCGGGGGAGAGTGTCCTGGCTGCCTCAAGCCTTGTGCCTTCTGCAGATTGGAGACATCCAGATGAGGCCCACGGAGCAGGTGACCTAGTTTCCTGTGGGGAGTTCCTCCTCCTCTCCCCGACCCTCAAGGCTTGGTTCCTGCTTCTGGATTGTAGGTGTTAATTTCTGGACTCCTGGATTCCAGTTCCTCTCCCCACCCCCAACAAGGGTTATAAAATTTGTTTGAGGTCTTTTTATCTTGTCAAATTGTTTCCACCACAAATGTGAAAAGTGGGCTGGGGAGGGAAGGTAGTGTCCCTAATTGTTTTACCTATTAACTTGTTCTGGGTTCCCTTCTTGGGCTCCTTGGCCTTTGTTTGCTGTCCTTGGTCTTTTCCCTTTGACCTGGGGAAGGGACTGTGGCCAAAAGGGGGGCTTCTCCCTATCTTCTTGCATCCCGTCACCTGTCACTCAGGGATGAGGTGGCAGAGAGAGCTCCTCGCCTATCTGAATGGTTATCGAGGGCTCCAGGCTTCTTCCTCAACCTGCCCCACTGCCCCTTTTCTCCCCCTGTCCCAGTTCTCCAAGCCCATTTGTGGCTTCTCAGCCCCCAGTGGGGTCATCACTCTACTCTGACTGGCAGCAGAATATTAGGGCATGCCTGCCAAGTGAATTTCACTGTAATAATTAAAAAAGAAAAGTTGCAATATTCTACCTTGGTTTCAGCAGTGTCTTTCTATTCCTCCTTCTCTGTGGTCAGGGGTGGTCGTGTCTCGGAATTTCTCCCAGGTGAGTGGGGAAGTGGGTAGATTTAGGGCCTCACTCCTGGAGTGTGGATTACCTTAGGTAGCAGGTGTGGGTTTGGGTTGGGTCTTGAAAATGGGTAGGAGTTTGCCAGCCAGAAAAGAAGACAACAGGTTGTGCGAGGCTCAGGGGCCCAAAAGAGGATGCAGTGTTGTAGTAACAGCACAGAGGTTAGTGCAGGAGTGAGATGGGGCTGAAAAGATGGCTCCTGCCTGGATCCCTGGGGGGTCTGCGTGCGGAGCAAGGAGTCTGGTCATTACCTGTGGGCTAAGGGCATCTGTTGGCTTGTCAGTAGGCACAGGACAGGCAGAAAGTTGTCATTTAGAGAATCAGCCGCCACAGGATAGGAAGTTATTGCTGGGTTCTGCTAACTGGTGCTGTGGGTTTGACAAGATAGTTTAAGTGCAGAGGGGGCTGGAAGCAGGAGAAGCTTCTGAGGAAAATCACCAGCATCCGGTGGTGCACTGGAAGTGGGGAGGGAAGCACCACCACTGACCTGGTTGAACACATCCCTTTAACCTGTGCTGGTGCCTGGGTGAATGCAATGCTCAATCTTCCTGGAACCTCTAAGGGCGCAGAATGAAGCCTGTGGCAGGGTCAGCTCTGCGCTGATCACCGCCTCCCGCCGGCCGCGGGGCGGTGGAGGTCGGTCGCTGCTTGGCCAGCCCCGCAGGCGGCGCTGTAGGGACGGCCTGGCGACCGGGCATGCGCCTTGCTTCGCCGGGCAGGGGGCGGGGCCGCCAGAACCCGGAAGTGGAGCAGCCCACGTGGGGGTCGAGAAGGCGGTTGTGCTTCGGCTACCTGGTTCTAGGCAATTCTTCGAATGGGGAGTCTGAGTTGGTCTTCCCTCTGTCTGAGGTGACGGGATGAGGGCAGCTGTGAGGTACCTTTAACCCGTTTTGGGAACTGGTGAGGGCCCCGTCGGGAGTGACCACTTCTGAGGACGCAGCAGAGGCCATCGGCCATGTCACTGCTCTCGGCCCTCGGAGGCGTGACCTGGCTTCGCTCCGGTCACCTCCTCGCGCGTCATTTCTCCCAAGCGGCGCGGCGTGGGGAGCGGCCCGGTGGGGAAGAGCTAAGCCGCTTGCGACTGGATGACCTGGCACCGACCCCGCGGTCCGCGCAGGGATTGGAACTTCTGTTTGGTCTGTCCCCGTGTCTCCTGGCTCTGCGGGCCGCCCGCCGCCGCGTGGCTCGGCTCCTGCTTCAGGCCGGCAGGTCTGGGCTTCAAGGGGAGCGGGCCGAGCTCCTCCGCGCGGCTGAGGCGCGCGACATCCCAATTCTGCGGCCCAGACGGCAGAAGCTGGACGCTCTGTGCCGCTACCAGGTCCACCAGGGCGTCTGCATGGAGGTGAGCCCGCTGCGGCCCCGGCCCTGGACCGAGGCTGGGGAGGCGAGGCCGGGAGACAACCCCCAACAGTTGTGGCTTGTCCTCGAAGGGCTCCAGGATCCCCGGAATCTTGGGGCCGTGCTGCGCTCCGCTTACTTCCTCGGAGTGGATAAAGTCATCACCAGCCGGAGAAACAGGCACGGAAGTCCCTTAGTCCCCATGTGCCCCCAATTTCGAGGCGCAGCCGAGTGCCTAAGCACCTTGACCCTTTGATGATCCCTCAGTCAGGCCTCCCTATCGCTAGAATTCTCATCCCTAACCCATGGGGGCTGAGGGAGGATAGGGCACCGATCTTGAGATTATCCAGCTTCATATGTCGCTTGGGGTAACTTTACAGCTGCCCGCTCACTCCGATAGTCAGCAAGGCCAGCGCGGGGGCTGTGGAGGTGATGGACGTGTTCTCCACTGATGACCTGGACGGCTTTTTACAGGTAAGGGGGTGGGAGTCGCAAAGGAACCTGAAATAAGCTAAGTCCATCCTTTCCAAGGGCACACCTCTAGCAGCTGATGGGGGAAGGGGGCATGTTGGCATCACTTCCTACATCCTTCTAAATCCCTTTGGGAAGGGAAAGATCCCAAAGTTTTTAAAACCACAAGTGGAGCAGAATCTGAAGTTAGGGACATCTGGTGTTATTCCCTTCACTGCACTCCTTCCTCAGGCATACCTCTGCCCCTCCTGCAAGTCAGCCACTGTGCCTTATTGACTACTAGGTAGGCCTTCAGTAAATGGTTAGCTGGGAGGAGCTGGTGAACAGGAATCCTGGGTTCCTCCAGTTGGGGCACAGCTTGAAAGACTCTTTGCACAGTGATTAGTCTATGCCCTTCCCTTCTTCCCTCTCACATACACAAAACAAAACCCCACAAAAACAAAAAACTCACCATCACCGAAAACCCAACTTTGTGGGGCGCGGGGCAAACCTAAGTAAAGAAACCCCTCTCCTGGTGCAGGCTTGTCTTCAGCTGTGCTTCCCTTGTTGTACACAAGGGGGCAGTATTGCTCTGCGTTTGACGGTTCCTCTGAACATTCCACAGGTCTCCCAAGTTGCAGTCCTTATATCTTTTTTCTGTATATATTCATTTCTTTTTTTGTCATCCAGTCTCATGGCTTTAAATACTGTCTATATTTGAATGCCTTCCAAATGTATATCCTAGCCCAGCTCTTGCTGCTAAACCCCAGGTTCACATATCTAGTTGCCTACTCTGTAACAGCTCTCTTGCTGTCCAAGGGGCATTTCAAGCTGAACATTTCCAAAGCCCAGCCCGTGTTCCTTCTGCAGACTTACCCAGTCCGTCGACAGCATCTCTGTCCCTTCAGTTGTTTAGGCCAAAACCTTGGCGTCATCCTTGATTCTTTCTGCTCTCGCAGCCCATGTCCCACCTGTCAGCACATCCTTTTGGTTTTGTTTTTGTTTGTTTGTTTGTTTTTTATTGGGGAATTGAGGGGATGGGAACAGCGTTGGGGAATTGGGGGAAGGGGAACAGACAAGTTGCTGTCTTTTTTTTTTTTGTTCTTCAGTCTAGTTGTGGAGGACGTTGCTTCACTGGCCCAAGTTGGCACCATCATTGCGTTCTTCCCGGGCGAGGCAGATCAGTCACCGGCTTCTGGACGGCCGCTCACAGCAGCTGCTGGCTGCTCATGGTGGCTGCTGGCCACACACGGTAGCCCATGGCAACCCACTGCAGCAGGGGCTGCAGCCTACGCCGTCGCAGGCCACTCAGCAGCCCAGCTCTAGGTTGAGCTGTTGTTCAGCATCTTAGCTTTGGAGGGCAGTGTCACTGGCCCTCACATGTTGGATCCGAACCGGGGCCCTCTGGCATCCCAAGCCTGTTCTTAACCATCGTACCACTCGGCCGGCCCCCTTTTGGTTTTACTATGAAGTTATTTTCGTATTCTGACCATTTCTTACCATCTCCACAGCTACCATTCTAATACAAGCCCCCATCACCTCTTGCCTGTATTGTCGTGGAAATTTCCTAACTGGTCTCCTTGCTTCTGCTGTTGGCGCTAAATACAGCAGGCAGAGTGACCATGTTGCAACGTTAGTTAGACTATATTACTTTTCTGCTCAGAACCGTTCAAAGCCTTTGCATTTCTCTCCGAGCATAAGCCAGAGTCCTTCCAGTGTCCTTAGAGGCTCCACCTTATGTGGCGTTTTGTTCCCTTTCCTGTCTCAATGGCTCCCTTCCCACTGGCCACCTTGCCATCCTGCTGTTCCTCACACATGCCAGGTAAGCAGCCACCTCTTGGCCTTTGCACTTACTGGTCACTGTCTAGAATATTCTTCCCCCAGATGTCTTCACAGTGCTCCCGCATCTTCTTGAGGTCTGTATTCAAGTCACTCACTCCAGTGAGGCCCTCCCCGACCGCCCTCTTTGGTTCACTGCCCTATACCCAGTGTCTAGAATAGAGCCTGTCCGTTCCAGGCGCTGAATAACCGTTGACTGCATTGAATGGCTTAGCGAGGGAATGAACATATGGCAAGGTCGGGCTTCTCCTCGGCCAGGGCTCTGATGAAAGTTGGGTGAGCTAGAACGCGATTTCTTTTTCTCCCTTTTAGGCCAAAGCCCGGCAGGGCTGGCTGGTGGCTGGCACGGTGGGCTGCCCCGGGCCTGAGATTTCCGGGTCCTCTGAGATCCCTGTCATGAGTTGCTCAGAGTTCCTCTGGGACCGGCCTACTCTCCTGGTGCTGGGTAGGTAGATGTCCCTGCTTTTCCGTGCTCAGACGTGCATTTCCTGAGCGCCTGTGTACTCAGCTGGGGCATCCCTAATCCTCTGCCCTCCTGCCCTGCAGGGAACGAGGGCTCGGGCCTATCCCAGGGGGTGCAGGCCTCCTGCCAGCTTCTCCTCACCATCCTGCCCGGCTGGCAGCTGCCTCCTGGACTGGAGTCCTTGAATGTCTCCGTGGCTGCAGGTGAGTCTACTCTCTCTGTCTCCTTCTGATCACAGGTGTGTAGCTGTTTCATCCTAAACAAGTTTCTCGATCCTTCTGTGTCTCAATTGCTTTTTGTGCCAAATGAGGAAAACACATTCTTCTGAGGGTGAAATGAGGGAGTGCCTGGCACCTGGTCCTTCCTCTTCTCAGTTCTCTCTCTTCCCCGTGTCCTTCTGTCTGTCTGTGCAGGAATTCTTCTTCACTCCATTTGTAGCCAGAGGAAGGGTTTCTCTGAAGAGAGGAAGAGAGAGCAACTTCTCCAAGGCTCCCGAGAACCCTCAGCCACGTCTGGAGGGCCCACAGTGTCCTCAGGACTGTCCTCAGGGTCAGAAAAAGAGAGGCAAGGTGGGGGCTGACTTGGACTGTTGAAGATGTGCGTGTGGAGGGCAGGAGATGGGGTGCACATACACCCACATGTTCCAGTGTCCTGGAATCTCTTGCCTGAGTGTGCACCCAGGGCGGGCACCTTTGGACCTTTGTGGTGAAGACCAGAAAAAGTTCAGTTTCTTATTTTGAGTTTGGATTTGCAGTTGGAGATAGCAGCCCATTAACTTCTAGTATGTGCTTGTTCAGAGGGTCTTTTTCTTCCTACATCCTGCTTGGATGTCAGGGGGAAGTCTAGACATCAGAAGGGAATCAGGCAGTTCAGTCCAAGAACCTTGTTCCTCTTGAACCAGTGTGAGAACATAGAGGGAGGCCTGGGGGCTCTCTTGTGGGGCAGACAGGTGCAAATCCAGCTCAAACCCAGCCCCGCTGCGGGGGCCTCAAGCACGTGGCTTCATCTTTATATGCCTCAGGGCCCTTGTCTGCACCTCCCTCACTGGGCTATAGTGATAATCAAATCAGACACCACCTGACATCCAACAGGCACTCAACAGTTCAGCCTGATTCCTCCACTAGGTGGCAGCCTCGCTCTTTGGTCCACAGTCTCTTCCGGAAGCTCGGATAGCCACCTGGGGAGATTCCTTGCTGTGGTGCTCAGGAGGCAAGGGAAAGATTAGCGGATACCTCCCACTCCCCTGGCCCTCCAGTCTCCCCAGCCCAGCACACCGGTGAGTCATGTCAGCCTACCTCCACGGAAGGAACCAATGAACAGAGCCCTGGCCTTTGATTCTGGGAGGGTTGCTGTTGAATATACCATTTAGACCTGTTTGGTACTTCACCCTCAGGGCCCCTCGGAGCAGAATCCACCGGTGCAAGTAGTTTAGAGCAGCCTTGGCTACACATTGGAACCACCTGGTCAGCTTTAAGAACCAGCTTACACTGGGACCTACCCAGAAAGTCTGCTGTAATTGATCAGGGTGCAGCCTGGGCATCAGGATTTTTAAATCCCCCCAGATGGGTCTAATGTGCAGCCCAGGCTTAGGTCACTGGAGCAGGGTGTGAGTCTCAGGGCTATTGACATTCTGGGCTGAATAATGCTTGATTGTGGGGAGCTGTCCTGTGCACTGTAGAATGTTTAGCAGCATCCCTGGCCGTTACCCACTAGATGCCAGTAGCACCTTTCTCCCCCCACCCCCTCCCAGTGTGACAACCAAAAATCCCTCTAGACATTGCCAAATGTTCCCTAGGGGACAATCACCCCTGGTTGAGAACTGCTTCCTGGAGCATGGGTCTGGAGGACAGCAACCCTAAGTTCAAACCTTGATTGCTGTGTGGCCTGGGGCAAGTTCTTTACCTGCCCGAGCCTCAGTCCCCTCCTTGGTGAAGAGGGCCAATCCTGCCTTTCTGGGTTGCTGGGTGGGTACAGAGGACAATAGGAACTGGGTACCTCAACGTAGTAGATGCTCAGTAAATACTATTGCCCTCATCTGTGGGATGGATTTATCTTGGAATTCTAAAGGTGATGCCAGTTTAGAAAGACATTTGCATTTGTTTAAAAAGGGCCTAAGATTGCCTTAAAGTCAAAGTTTTTCCCCTCAAGAAAGGAAGAAAGCCCTTCCTAAACTCCATCAATCACCACCACACCAGTCCCCTTGAGCTGTCTGTCCCCGACTGGCACTCGGGCTCTGACATCCACTGGCAGTGTCAACCTTGGGCACACTGTGCTGCTTCCCCCACCCCTGCCTCGCTCTTGGCAAAGAACCCAATGTGGTTCTGAACCTTGGCTGTCCCTTAGAGTCATGGGGTCAGGGTGTGGGGGTGGGGGGGTAGCTTTTAATATTCCAGATGCCCAGAGGCACCAGACCGATGAAATCAGAATCTCTGGGGAAGGAGCCAGGTACAAGCATTTCTCAGAGCTCCCCAGTTGATGCCAGTGTGCAGCCAGGTTTGAGAATCACTGGCCCTGGAAGCCTCCCACTCCAGTCCAAGAAGAGACCTTCCAAATCATTCACAGCCATGCTTTTGAGCACATGCCTGAACGCACACGCCAGGCAACCTCTCATCTGTCCCTCGGGTTCTTTAGAAGATGCTGGTTCCAGCCCTGGCCCCATGGCTTTCTACCTAGATGGCTTCTCAGTCTCCTCGTGTGTAAAATGGGGATAGTGCCACTGACGCCTGCTCCAGCTGCCCCCTCCCCACTGGGGAGGTTGGGAAAAGAAAATGAGAGTGTATCAGTAAAAGTGTTCTGTAAACTAAAGCACTGTGCACCCAGGACTAGCACAAACCTGGATGTGATGGTTCATGTGTCAACGTGACTGGGTCATGGGGTACCCTGATACTTGGTCAGACATTCTGGGTGTGTGTGAGGGTGTTTCAGGACGAGTTTAACATTTAAGGAAAGCAGATTATCTTCCCTAATGTAGATGGGCCTCAGTCAGTTGAAGGCCTAAGCAGAACAAAAAGCCTGACTGCCTCGTAAGAGGGAATTCTTCCTGCCTTTGGAACTGAAACACAGGCCCTTCCTGGGTCTCGAGCCTGCTGGCCTTCAGATGGGAACCAAATCATCTGCTCTCCTGGGTCTCTTAGCTTGCACACTCACCCTGCAGAACTCAGGACTTGTCAGCTCCATAATCATACGAGGCAATTCTATAATAAATAAGTAGGTAAGTATGTATGTATATGTGTGTGTGTATATCTTTTTTTTTTTTAAAGATATTTATTGGGGAATTGGGGGGATGGGAACAGTGCTGGGGAATTGGGGGAAGGGGAACAGACAAGCTGCTGTCATTTTTGTTCTTCAATCTAGTTGTGGAGGACGTTGCTCCACTGGCCCAAGTTGGCACCGTCACTGCGCTCCTCCCTGGTGAGGCACATCAGTCGCCGGCTTCTGGACGGCCGCTCACTGCGGCTGCTGGCCGCTCACGTTGGCTGCTGGCCGCTCACGTTGGCTGTTGGCAACACACGGTAGCCCATGGCAACCCACTGCCACAGGGGCTGCAGCCTACGCCGTCGCCGGCGACTCACGGCAACCCAGCTCCAGGCCGAGCTGTTGTTCAGCATCTTAGCTGCGGAGGGCAGTGTCACTGGCCCTCATATGTGGGATCCGAACCGGGGCCCTCTGGCATCCTAAGCGAGTTCTTAACCATCGCGCCACTCGGCCGGCCCCTGTGTATATCTCTTAATGGTTTCTGTTTGTCTGGAGACCCAGACCAACAGACATGATGAAAATGAACTCTGGTGTCCTGGTATACCCTCCATGTGGGGGTACAGGATCGAGCTCTGCTCTCTAGGACCAAACCCAGCATGGAAAGTAGAAGTTGGGGTTGGGGGCACTCAGGGCCCGGAGCCCGTCTCCTGCCCAAGCACTCCTGGTGTCTGGAACTCTATCTGACCTGCTCTGGGCATGCCGTTCATCAGCTTTCTGGGTCCCCATGGTCTGGGCCATTAGAGGGGCCACTCTCCTGTGCTCAGCCAGGCACGGGGGGGCTCCTCCTTGCTTCACCCTCTGGGGAGCAGGCTGGCAGGCCTCTGGGAAGATGGGTTCACTTGAACCAAAGGGAACTGAAACTAATTACCTGCCTTGCACACACAGGTATGTAGTTATGTCATGCAAACCAGCCATTCCCAAGACAGACAGCACCTGCGACCCTAAGGCCAAGGATGAGTCTGAGTCTCCTTGGAGTGGCCCATGGTGCCTGACAGACACTGCTCGGTCAGCAAGTCTGGTCAAATACACGGGCTAGGGTGGCTGTGGTCGAAGCTGGGAGGGGCGGGGCCAGGGTGTCCAGCCCCTGTAGGGCAGGGCCAGGATGAAGCCAGAGGAGGGGGCGGTTTGCTTTGAGTTCCAACTCTGCCCTGCTAGTGGTGTAAACGTGGACATGTCCCTGTATTTTTCCAAGTCAGTTTCCCTCATCTATAAAATGTGGATAACAGCAGTGTCCACTCCGAAGGATCACGGTGCGGATTAAATGAGATCACGCATGTGAAGCCCTCAGCTGATGCCAGGAGGAGGATGGCAGCTGTTGTCACAGCACCGGGGACAGACCTGGAGGTCAGGGCACCAGGCTCTGCTCTCCTATCATCCTGGCCTCAATTTCCCCACAGGCTCTAGGGCCCCCTTCAGCTACAACACGCGATGATTTACCCCGGAGAACCACTGGGGAGTGTTGGGGTGGGGAGGGCTTTGAAATAACATTTGCAGGATCCTCCTTTGTCAGGGCTCCCTGGCCAAGAGAGAAACGGTCTCAGAAGGTTTGGTGCTGACGTGGGATTTCCAAAGCAGCTGAATTCTAACCAGCATTCCTGTTTGCCTCCAGAGCTGGAATTTTTTTTTGGCAGGAAGCTAAAATTGCCACCTTACTCCCCCTGAATGGGGTCCTAAACTAGACACCCCCTCCCATTCCTGCAGGGCCAGGCTGCCAGGGAGCCCCACAGTTTGTAAATGTAATCAACCTTGAGGTCTCTGGCACCCACAGGTGCAATTAGCATGCCCATCTGCTAATCCCTGATTAATGATGTTTACAAACACGGGACTCCACTCAAGGAGCTGCTCAGCCCCTCCCTCCCAGGCCAGAAGGCAGGGGTATTCCTAGCACCCCCACCCCCACTCCTTCAGTCCTCCCCAGCCTGTACCCCTTCATCCCCTTCCTAGGCAGTGGGCAGGTCCCTCTTTGGTCCCCTGGCCTGACTGATTGCACACGTCTGGAAAGGAGACAGTACACAGACACTGTGAGGCTCAGTGGTAAGGCTGGGGTCCTGCTCTTCCCAGCTCTGGAACTTTCAGGACACAAGGTGGGCTGGGCGTGCTTCCTTTATTCACACACCAGCTCCAGCTCTGGGGTCACACATAACCTCCACAGTGTGGGCCCACCCCTATTCCCTCCAGGGTTGGGCTCCTGGACCTGTCCCCAGATGGGAACATTTCTACCCCACCTACCTTCCTGCTGAGGACCGCAGTAGGTCCATGTCAGAGGCACAGTGGCCAAAGCATTAAGAAGGCAGACTTCTGAGTCGGACAGTCC